AGTTGCATTAATTTTCTCTGCTTGTATTGGTTTCCATTCTTGTCCTGTTGCAGTTTTATAATCAGATTTCAAATTTAATAGAACTTTTACTTCTTGATCAATGACTTCCTTACTTGCTTTTTCTGATTTTAATTGTCTTACTTTGTCACCTTGTTTCTGTATTTCTTCAGATAACTTATCATTAATTTTATTTTCAGATACAATATCTGATTTATTTTTAAGAATTTCCACATTATTTGCCGTATTACTTATATTGGTTTCTTTTATATTTGCAGTCTTCTTTTGTGTAACTTGTGCCATTTTAGTATTAAGCATAAACGTGAGTAACTGTTTCATCGTATTTTCAAATTCAACCTTTGCTGGTGTTTCATTTGAAGATGATTTTGGTTTCCACTCTTTGCCAGTGGCAGCTTTAAAATCTGCTTTTAATTTTAGTAAAGTTTTTACTTCTGCATCTATAATAAATTTATCTGCTTTCTCAGCTTTAAAATGACGTACTATGTGACCTTGAGCAATAATTTTATCATTTATTATATTCACATCTTCTTGTTTAATCTATAAAAAAATAAACACACAAATATTTAGAATTAAGAAATATGCATTTAGTTAATCATAAATATATTTAATTTGGTGGGAATAAATTTTTACTTTTGGAAGACTTGGTTTATTACAAACAGTATTTTCTTTACTATCAACCTTTGAAACACTTGTTTTATTATCAACAGTACTTCCTTTACTATCAACAGCACTAGTTTTCACAGATTTTGAAGCAGTATGACCATCTGGTATATGAAATAGAATTAAAGGTTGCTCTTTGCAACAGATAGTACTTCTGTCTGCATAGGGTACATCGCATCTGAAAAATCCTTTTCTTTGCAATTGAATTATTTCCCCTTTTTTGACTCTATTTAATTCTGACTCGCCCAACATTCGTATTTCTACCTATAAGTTTACAATAATATGTTTCCATTTTTTCGTTAAATACATTAATAATAATTTATCAAAAATAATAAACAACTCACTCTTGTATCTTTGGCAACAAAGTTTTTAAAATCATCATCTTTTCCCAAAATTGGCTTTCTTATAATATGATCAAAATAAACAGCATAACATGGTATTAAATCCTTCGAGTTTTGTGGTGCAGGAAGCCAAGTAATCTTTAATGTATTTTTATAGTTTTCGTCACTTAAATTAAGCCTAGCGTCTACGCTCTCAATACTACCATTCTTTTTATGTATTGCTTCAATTTTTAAATTACCCCAATTAACGAATGTTGCATTTTGTCCTTCAATTAGTGCTTCTGCATCATCTTTTTCTATTAATAATTTTGAGCCTACTCGTACACGTTTAGTACCTAACGATGGATCTTTAGGATGATTTTGAACCGTTAACCATTCTTCTTTGGAATCCAAAACATTAACTGGAACAGTATTATCATAATCCAGTGCAGTGTACCTAATAGTATAAGAAAAATCACTTAGAAATGTGGAATTCATAAAATACTTATTAATTTATTTTTATATTAATAATATAATACTATCTACATACCTAATTGCAATTGGATCAATTACTTTCTTGTTAAAAGACCATATCTTATCCCATTCCATAAAAACAACTGATCTAGAACTGCCTTGTGCAATAATGAATTGTTTCAAACCTTCTACAGTCATACCTCTTCTTAAGATACCTCTTACAGTAGGAAATCGTGGATCATCCCAACCATCCACTAAACCATTTTCAACAAACCATGTTAATTTACGTTTAGATAAAACAGTATTGGTCATATTTAAACGCGAATATTCCCATATATACGGTCGATTTAATCCCAATGCTTCGATTATCCAATAATATTGAACATCTCTATCATGATATTCAGTTGTACGCAATGTATGTGTAACATTTTCAACGGCATCCACAATTGGACAAGCAAAATCATATATTGGATATACTCTGTAAAAATAATATATTATAATATATTAAATATATTAAATAATATTATATAAAATTATATAGGAGAAATATAGTTAAGGAAATAAAATAATTATTTAGTACTTGTATTTTGTTCCAGTACGGGGATGCGGCTCTGGTTTGCATCTATATATTGTTGGATCTCGTAAACATCCATTTACTGATTCATAATCTATTTTGGCTCGTACACAGCATTCTTGACCCTTCTTGCTACCTTTTTGCATTTCATTCCATAACTCTAAATTCTTCTCAACAGCTACAAAGTTTTATTTAGATTTTAAGCATACAATGATATAAAATACAAAATATAATGAAACTAATGTTACTCACAATTATCTCTATTTGATGACTTCAACTTTTGATCACGTTGTTCTTTCATAAGTAAAGCAGGTGTATCATCTACAAAAGCTTTACCATCTTTAATTAACTTTGTACAATAATCAAGCATTAAATCAAAATAATCTGATGAATAAGTAAATCGATCAGGCTTAATATTTAATAATCTTATATCTTCTAGTATAGCCTCTTCGAACTCTAAATTTTCTTTAGCAGGATTCGTATCATCAAATCTCATAATTAATTGGCCTTTAAAAGTTTCCGCATAATACTGATTCAAAAGTGCTGCCTTAGCATGACCAATGTGAAGATAACCACTTGCTTCTGGTGGAAAACGTACAACAACCTATTTAAATATTAAAAATTAAAGTGAATATATGCACTATATAATCTTCAAGATAAGCAACATTGAAAAAGTTGAAATTAATTAAAACGTTTAGCTTACTTTTCCCATTTCTGCCCCTGGTAAATCAATAAATTTACCCTCTTGTTTCCTTACACCTACTTTCTTATTCATTGTACCATCAACTTGAATATTATTCTCTATTGTCATTTTATTATTTTCAATGGAGGACAACGCTTGAGTAACAGCAGGGAAAGAAAGCAATTGTTTATACCATCTAGTAACACAAGGGTATAATTTTTTAAACTCCTCCAAGTATGATAAACTTAAAAGAGCGCAAAAAATAGAAATGTCAGCTATTGTAAACTTCTTATCTGCCAACCATGTATTTGTCATTAAAATTTTATTTAAAAAAGAAAAAGCTTCATGTTTAGCCGGTGTTTGACGTAATGGTCCTACAGCAAATGACAACCAATGATCTATTTCTGTTCTGCCACGAGCATCTAAATTACCTTTAAAAAAAAAAAAGATATATAATGAATATATATTGAATACTTTCCAAAAAATATGTTTTATATTTAAACATACCATATAGATCCTTAGCAATAGTTCTACCAATATAGCGAGCAACTTCATTGCCACTTTTTGCTAACAATCGATCATTAGAATCTAATAATTCAAGATTTCCATCTTCTTTCCAGTCATTACACCATACTACATCGATTTCTTTTTTTTCACAATTAATTAATTCTGCTATTATCAATGCATCTAAAACAAAAAAAAAAAAAATAAAATTATGCAAAATGTATATAAAGAAAATTATTATTTCATTTTATATGCAATGAAATATTGTTAATTGGCATATGTTTATTCGGGTATGAATAATAAAACAATAAACTAAGTTAAACAAAAAAGTGAAAAACAAAATAAAGTTCATACCTGTTGGTGGATTGTTAGAATTTACTTTCAATTTCAGCATCATTGTTGCGTCACCATTAAAAATCTAATAACTTTAAAATGTAGATGATATAGACCAAATTTTGTTACACACCACGTGTACCTCTCTATCCTCTACACAGCAGACAACAACACTAGCGCTAATCGAACATAGGTTTAAGTCAGGTCATTTGTGTTCTACAAATGGCACACCTTAATAATCTTAGTTATTTTCTACATAACCAACAATGTCAGAAATAAGTTATCTAATACCTGCAACATGTTTTACTTAATAGCTATTAATTATCAATATTAACGCTATGATCTCATTTTCGAAAATAATTCTGACAAAAGTTACCGCAATGAAAATTTTCATTACCTGTTAGATCTATATGACATTTCGTTCATGGCGAAACTTTCTATCCTATATAAGCTTCGTCTTCTTGTATCCACAGGAATTTTAGTATGACTGCCTTGATTTTGGCCGCTCTTGGTTCTTTTGCGTTACGTAGAAGAGTTTCAAATTTATTAATAGGAACGATAGTTAGAAAATAATCAGTTTTAATCATGGATGATGAGTGGGGTGTGTATCTGTGATAGTTAATAGTTTATTTTCATTAAAAATTTCGATAGCCTTAATAACAGATGAGTGATCAGATGAAGTATTAATTTTAACCTCGTGCACTTTACAGATGTGGACAATGTCGAACCGAAATTTGATCTCGCAATGAGATCAAACAAATGGGAAGGGGAGGACGAAGATGAAGATGTTAAGGTATAATCATTTTTATCTAATTGATATACATTATTAGATGTATTTTTGTGATTATGTGTGTCATTCTGAACTTAACCTACAGCAAACACATGCTGACTCTTACAACTCAACTTTGTCTTTATTTATTATTTGAAAATAATTGTTTACTTTATCAAAGATTATCTTGATATTGTCTACTAACTTATCTTTATATTATAAATTACTGGAAGTATAGATTAAAATATGTTAATACATGGTAGTCAAATCATACTTAGAATATTTTTTGTATTTTTTAGTCATTTTATTTACTGCATATATTTTTATATATTTAAATAATGATTTTCTTTTTTTTATAAAGTTAAATGGTAAATAAAATATGATAAATATTCTTGTAAGATTTATAGTTATTTTAGTCTTCATAAATAATGAATAAACAGGATAGCTGGGAAGATATTGAAGAAGAGAAGAAGGATGTAGAAAAACCTGCAGAAATCACCAAACCTAAAGCAAAACCAAAACCCAAGAAAGCTCTAGCTGAAATGATTGAAGAACGCGAGGTTAGTGAACCTATCAATTGTTATAATTATACATATCATATAGATATATATTAAATGATCAATTAACTTACGTATTCACATAAAACATTTATTTTTTTCTTTAGAAAAAAGCGAAAGAAGAAGCTGAAAGAAAAGCTAAGGAAAAGGAAGAAACTTTGACTCCGGAAGAAAAGAGAGAGGAGCTATTAAGGAGACAAAGGTTGCAGGAAGAGGCAGACCTACGATTGGCAATGGAAACATTTGGTTTGTTAAACCTTGTAGATTTTAGTCCACGTAAACCACATAAGGGAGAGAAAAAATAACGTGTCATTTGAACGTTTAAAGTGTAATTCTTTTTTTACATATCTCAGGCCTTATGTAAAATCATTCTCTAAATCAACTTGTGCATGATTTTTTTTAATTTATATATATGTTTATATATTTATATATATATATAAACATAAATCACATAATTTATAGTAAAAATTAATTTTTTTCTCAACCACTGTGTCATGCATTTCCATGATAATATAACACATCTTTATGAGATAATATAGTAGATATTTAAAAAATCTAAATTTTCTAAAACTATATTAAGGTACATAAAGATGTTCTGCTTTACACGATGACAATAGATAATATATTCTAATAAATTTAAGATATAAAACTAATGAGAGAGAAATAGAAACCAAGAGAGAAAGAAAATGAGAGAATGAGGAGAACAATTTGAAAAATATTTTTACCTTTAATTTATTTGATCATTTATTATGAAACTAAAATTTTATAAATGCATGTACATAAATGTGCATGTTTATTTATATCTTTTTCTGGTATCGTGTACACACAAGAAAGTATATACTATTCTATTATACATAAAATTGTACAGTATTATATAGATATGATGTAAGTATAAAAACAAAGTATTTCGAATTAATAATAATAATAAAAAGAAAAAAGAAGTAGCACAAACGTGAGTAAAATATTAGAATATGATATTCTAAATACTGTTAACATAAGAATATAACAGAATAGACTCATACAAATTTATGTATAATTGTCAGGAACTGTACTAGGGACAATTATATATATATATACAACAAACGTATACAACTCAAGTTTATTACAAATTTTATGGTACTGAATAAATACTGTTATGTATTTTAATAAAAGTTGCTATTCTATTCAAATGATGGTGTTCATGTTAGTTTGCAACCTTTTATCTTGTTGTTAGTTTCCTGTACTGTTCCTGATTAGTTATGTGTGTACACACCCGCGTACAATTACGCGCAAGCGCGTATATGTAATGTGTGCGCGTAAAATCGTACGAATGGGTATATATCATAAGAACTTTATTTAAAGTATTCGAAATAATTACTTCCAAATAAGTTATAAGATTCTATGAATTCTTTTTAGTTGTAAACATTACACGATTGCACCTGAGTATCATTGGTTATCATATATAACTATTATGAGCCTAATTTCATAAACCAATGTAAATTTAAATGGACTTTTTCTTATTAGAAAAACTTTTTGTTTTATAAGATAAAAAGTAAATTTATGAAATAGTCACACATATCACAAGCTTATATATAATTGAAATATATATAATTATGTTCTTTAAAAGAATTATATATATATTTTTTAAATATTATATTCTATATTACATTGTATTTTATAGGTGTAACTGAAGAAGCATCAACAGGCCTTGATGCTATGAATCCTAATACGAAAGAAGAATTTGACCAATTTGCTGCAGCACTTTCACACAAAATTAGCGAATATAAAAAACATTCTGAATTCCCACCATTCGCAGAGGAACTTATAAAGTCAATTGCCTTAAACTGTTAGTATATTAATACTATTAAATATATATTACCTTAAACAATAAATTTAATATTATAATTCTTTTCTAGTATCGTCACATGCTTTGAAGAAGGTAAAAACTATGGTGGATAATTTATTAATAGAGAAACAAAAAATAGAAAAAGGAGAAAAAGCAAAGAAACAAAAAGGAAAGGGCAAAGCAAAACTTAAAATTGAAGGAGAAAATACCATGTTAAGCGAGTATGGCGACTACGTTTATGATGATTATGATGACTTTATGTAGCGACTTTTCATATAAATAAGTATTCTAGTCGCCTAAATACATATTGGAAGATATTAACTTGCAGATTTATACAAAAAATTTATAATTATACTTTTTGCATATAACAACTATATGCAAAATGTATATGCAGATTGATCTGCATTCTTAACATTATCTGCATACGACTTAACAGAAATCAGGAGAGAGTGTTAGAGTTACATTGCTATATCTTTAATCTGTTGAAATGAATTTTTTTTTTGTATAATTACATTTACTTGCACCATTAAGTTAATATCAAATATTTCTTGTATTCTAATACATAAAAGGAATTTGTCTGCATATCAATATGATTAACAAATATTAATATAGTTGAGTTATAAGCAGTTACACAGAATAATGATAATCCTAATTTTGTATTAATCCTAGTGCAACAGAAGTATTTTTAATTTATTATCAAACTGCTTTTTAATTACATCATTATTTATTATTAGTATAGATAAGTAAAAATAAATATGTTTTATATCACGGCTTTTTACTTTTAATTTAAAATTCAACGAATAAATATTTTTCAGTTTACCTTTAATAATACTTATTGAACTTAAAATGATTACTATAGAATACTATATACTATATATAGATATACTATAGAATACTATAGAATTCAAACGTAATATGATAACAAGTACAATATTTTATAAGTAATCTTTTTAATCTAATGTATATTATATTTGTTATTACATAAACATTGTATGGATATCCCATACTAATTATGCAGGCAATTCCTTGATAATTGGATATAATATAATTGAAAAATATATAGTTCTCGGATTTTATTATTAGATAATTGTTCTATTATATCTATAAGCATAATATTGGAAGAATTTTTATTTTTTTTTAATACATCTTTAACTGTTTAAAATGTCTTCAATATGCTTAAATAGCTGCAGTGCACAGCTATTATGTAACTGTATTATGGAAATTTTATATAACATGTCTTACACATCTATACATACATACATACATACATAAGCATATGCATACTTCAATTAATTAAAAGTTGGTTTTGAAAAAGAGTATATTCCTAAATAAAAAGGTTGACTGTAAATAATTTTTGTTGCTATTTTAATTTTCTACATAGATATACAATTTATTTTAGGTATTACAAATATATCTTAGGTATAATAAATTTATGAAATAGGATAAATTTTATAATAAATCAATAAATGCATAAAGAATACAGTTTTTCTACGACAACATATATGAATTTAATCCAAATAATATATTAAGAGAAAAAAAAATGTTATGATACTAAAAATTAAACAAAACAAACAAATTTTAATTATTAGATTTTATAACTTGTATTTATTTCATTTATTTCATGACATGTATGTGAAAACGAGCTCCTTCATTTTTTTAAAAGCAGACATTAGTGGAAAGGTTGGACTAAGGGCCAGAATAAAGAACTAGTTATCTCGACCACTCGTCTCTGCTGCATTTAATAATTTTGATTAATAATTTTGTGAGGACATATACGTGTCTGATCATTACAATTTTGATTTCGATTCCATGAGGAAGGACATGAAAAAATGATTTAGACCGCCCAAGGATCCAACTTGTTCCAAAAAACATATATATAAATATGTGTGTACTTCTAGTTTTTGTGTTATATTCATGCTATAAAGTTACATAAAAAATTTTAATTTTTTGTTTTAAAACTATCATTTAACTATAACATTTATTCAATTGCAAAATAATTTTAAAATAACGAAATGTTTATTTTTTGTGATATCCATCTATAGGTGTTAAGTCGAAGTTTCGTTAAACTATGTCCAGTCGATAACGATGTAATCTACTAGTAGTTATATTAATTTATATTATATATTAACAATTTGTTAAATATGTGTTTTGTATTCGTGCTATTTAACATGTGAGTACCACGCGCGTTACTTTGTTTAGTTTTATTGTTTTCAAGCATCGCTAACTGACTAAAAACTTTTAATTCAAGCCACGTCAATCGCCAATGACTGACGTATAACTGTTTTTTTAATACAAAGTAACACACGTGGCCCGACGAAGATTTCCGTATGAATTCGCATAACGCTTAACGTGTAATAGTTACAAATTAAACAAGATAAAATTTAGATAATAACTTTTTAAAAACTAATATAAAACTTTCCATTATCTTGATATGTCTTTTTTATAATAAGACATAAAGTAATTGAATGAATCACTTTAATGGAAAATAACAATGACTAATGATAAATACGAGTTATACATCAAGAATATATATATATCAATGTAGATATAAATTTATTGTAAGTGCATGCGTGCAATGAACAAATTATAACTATTTTAACTGATATAAAAAAGAAATTATATTTAAAATCAAGTAATTTAACATTTTACAATGATAAAAACATTTATATTTTTTGACATTGAGACAACCGGTCTTATTCAAGGGAATGAATTTCCTAAAATAACAGAATTTTCATTTGTAGCTGTAACTCGAGATAATATATCTCTTGTTCAAAATGAAGTTCCAAGAGTTTTACAAACTCTTACTGTACCGATTAATCCTAATCGATTAATACCTCATAAAGTAGAAACTTTAACAGGTAAGTTCTATAAAAATCTTATTTAAAAACATAAAACTAACTTTATACTTTTGAATAGATTTAAATAACAAGTGTCTACAAAATGTATCTTTATTCGATCACAACATATATAATTTGATCACTAGTTTTCTTGATACATTAATGAAACCAATATGTTTTGTGGCACATAATGGAAAGGCATTTGATTACCCAATTTTGATGTCTGAATTGAAGTGCATTGATAAGGTATATATTTGTTTTTATCTTTCTACATTAGAAAAATAGTTGTATCTATAATTTTATGTTATATGTATGCATGGTGTTCTGTAATTGGTAGTAAAAGCGAGCAGAAAAAAAGAACCAATACAAAAAAAAGCGTAAAAATGTTCTTCAAAATATTCAAGAGTAAAATAGTAAAATTCGTCGAACTGAGACTAAATTAAGTGTTATTTGTACTTAATAAATTTTTCAACTTGTTTTTCTTTAAAACATAACCTTATATAGAAAAATTTTATTCTACATTTTCGACTTATTGTTAGTTTTTCGTGTAAGATAACCTCTACTCGTTTGTAACACTAGTTACAAAATACCCTGTATATATATATATATTAAGAGAGATATTGAAATAGATTTTATTTTCATTTAAGTATTTAGCAGAAGACATTCTATGTGTAGACACGTTACATTTATTCAAAGATTACTTTACGAAAGGCAATCATAACCAAGAAGCCGATGTCTTAATATTGGACGAACATGGCAAAAATATTAATATAAATCAAAAACCATGTAATTTTAAATTAATAACAATATATGAACACTTGTTAAAAGAGCCAGTAACCAATAGTCATGATGCACAAAGTGATTGTATTAATATGTTAAAATGCGCTTCTTGTATCAAAGAATATTTTGTAGAATGGTGTGATAGTAATGCGGAACCATTATTGAAAATGAAAAAAAATACTTAATTATTCTTGAAGTGATAATAAAATATATATTTATCTAGTATTAATTCAATAATTAAACTTTAAAATTATCAAATTTTAAAATATTTTTTGCTATCTTAATTACATTATATATATATATATATATATATATATATATATATGATATGTGTTTGTATATATTATAATAATATGTATATATAGAACATTTGTTTACTAAATTGTTATCAAATTGTATTTAGAGAAATTAAAATAGTTTAAAAACTTCGGAATTCACAGTAAATATGATCATTAAAAAATCGTGCATCTGCTCTCTGTTTGTTCAGGTTGCTCACATTCTTCAGAGTCTTTGAACTTTAATATATGTAATTCCTTAGGATTTACTAAAAATATAAAAAATTAATTGAAATTTAACTTTAATTTAATTCATTTATCAAAAAAATTATTAATTATAATAATAAAGGAAACTAAAATAATATTATTTATAAATTTGGATATGTTTAGCTTACAGATATAAGAAGCAATGATATATTTATCATCTTCTATAGAATTATAAATTTTTTTAAGGATTCTATCCAATCGATTTTTAATATTTACTATTTCTTCATCACGGAGTTTACTTAATAGATTAAACTTGGAATCCCAGTAATAAGTTATGCGCTTATTTTGTAGAGACTTATGCAATTTGTGTAGCATCTAAAAATATAATTCTATTTCATATTTTTATTAAAGTTATGTTTAGTAAAAATAAGCTTGAAATAATTAATAAAATTAAATAATTAAATAATAATTAATTGCAAATTAATTATTTGAAAAAACGCGTAACTATATAAATACCTCCATAAATAAAATTGTACATGATTTTGTTTCTAAATTTTTATTAGATTGAACTTCATCTAATGCTAATGTTTCTATATAATAACTGGCAAGGTTTACCCAGTTTTGGGTATCTCTTAATTTCTGAAAATATAATATCAACTCATTAATATTCTCATATATCATATTTACATATATTATATTTATAAAATATAATTATATGTATATATAGTTCGAATACTTTTATAAGCTTTATCACTTGTTTAATATATCCGTTTTTAGATAAAATTTCTTTTTCTTGTTCATAAAAACATGTTCTCCAAGAGATCTGTGTTTTTCCATTAAATCCTTTATAATTATATAAAGGCTTAGGTACAGCAAACCAGTTTTGTTTCTGAAAATTTAAAATAATATTAACTACATTACAAATATAAAATGTAACTAATTGTTTATTAAACATTGTCAACATCATGTATATACTTGGTACGAATTTAAATGATCTATTCCTGGTGGACTTTTGGAAAATTCTAGCACTGGTACTAAATCAATGTCTATATTTTCATTATCAGAAAAAAGTATTGTAAATGTAAATGCCGGACCGGACTTTTTTATTGTTATCTGTAACATATAAAATATTTGTAGTTTAGTTAACTTTTCGGATATTTAAATTATTTAAAAACTATTTACATACTATATATTCATTGTCATTTAATTTTAATATATATTTATTTTCCCTTTTTGGTAAAGTTTGTATGGCTTTAATTAATATGCTTTCCATCCAGTTATGAAACTTTCCTTGGTGAAGATACATATTTTCATCAAGTAATTTCCTTAATGACCTAATAAAATAATAAAATAATTTACTTAAATAATTTTTTCTCATGAGCTATAATTTTATTACGAATTACTTTAATAACAAATATAAATAAAATATAATATTATACATAATATTACATAGAAAATTAAAAATGTCTAATTTATTTTATTTTATAACTTATCTTACCTATTTATTTGTGTATCATTAGTTAATTTATCTAATTCTAACCCAGAATGTATGTTAACAAAACCTGGATGATTACTTTTTTGTACCTAAGATTAGATTAAACATGTATATCTTAAAATTGGATATACATTTGTTGTTACTTTACTCTTTCATCTGATGATATTCATCAAAACTCTTTGAAAAGTTAAATAACAACCATATAAAATAAAAACATTTATATAAATGAAATATTTAAAACATCTTTAAACACTTAAATGATACGAAGAATAAATAATAGACAAATTTATACAAATTTAAATGATTATTCTAAAGTAAACATATCCCATATATATCTACAACATAACAAAATATTAAAACAAAAAAAATTATTATTTTCAGAACAAATAATAATTATAAATTAAAAATTGTCTTACTTTTATAAGCTTATAGTCAATAGGTAATCTTATTATTATATCTATGTCAAATTCTATAGCTGCTCCAATTTTCGTACCCTTATAATAACTACCGCCGAATAATTTTCTTTGAAATACTTTTTTAAAGAAATCATCTTGTTTCATTTTTTCAAGTATTTCATCAATGATCTATATTAAAAATTATATATAAATATAAATAAAAAAAAAAATATATATATATATATATATATTACGCTTATATGAAATAACATACCGGGTGTAAATGAGAATTAATCCTTTTAGTATCATTTTCTTTCAAAGACAAAAACTGTTTATTTATAGTATGAAATACTTTATCATTTTTAAAATATTTCTGCTTATTTGATGTATCAAGGAACTACATAAAAAGGAAACAAAAAAGAAGTATGTATTATACAGAAAATTTTATATAGTATATATTTATATATACTAATGTATACTAATAAATAGATAATACAAACCTCCATCATGATGATTACGATTATTAATATTACTTATTATTACTTATTAATATAAATAATTTTTGAAATGTTTTTTTATAGTGCAAATGTTACAGTAAAGAGTAGTAGTATTGCATTAATTTATTTTTTATTTTTTATATAAATGTAGATGCACTGTAAAAGTAATATGTTATACACAGATCCAAATTCAAACAATGTCTGAACTTTACTTACGTAGTTTTATGTATATATATCATGTTGCACTGATAATCATTGCTACTTCTTCCAATAGGCTTGCCGATATGAGTAATAGGAATTGAATTTGATATGGTTTATAATGAAAACTTTTTAGATATATTATATTTTATAAAAATTTCAATTTATTGAATAAATACACTACATTGTTTAATAACAAGTTGTTACAAGTGGTATATATATTATCAATTTCTTGATAATGTATAGATATTACAAATATCGTCGACATAAAATTGTTATCCATTTTATATACGTTAAGAAAAATTACTTTTATATGTACGTGTACATGACATAACTTTTTGCGCGAAATGTATTAAAGCAGTAGTTCTCAAACTTTTTGCATTCTCAAGGCTTTCTATGTTAAAATCTAATATCTAGTATTAAAAATAGAAATAAAATTATGAAAATTATATAATATTTCGAAACATTGTGGAAAGTCGCAGTTTCCCAATACACATTTTAAAAATCACTTCATTAAAGGAAAATTTGCAATATTATTTTTCATTGGATAACTTCAAAAATACGATATCCAATCGATGTAAGATCTTAACGGAAATGTTATCTTTAACAAGTATTTTTCCGATTAGCTAATATTTCAATGCTATATATCGTTTAACCGGCTCGTTATATGCGAATGTTTCTTGTTTATTTTTATTAAAATAGATTTGAAATGGTCCAGTGATGAAATGCAAATGTATATATAAAATTAACTATTACAGAGAGGGAGCGTCGATACTAAGCTAGGAACTAACTAACGGAATACAAATGAAAGCGTGACGGTGAGTACGTTGCAGTACATACGTTGCGTTTCAACAGCGCAAGAAGAATAATGTCGTTGGAAGGACAAAGCAATCTGTGTTTTTGAAAAAAAAATATAATAATAATAATAATACTAAAATAAAAAACTTAAACATACATTCTATAGCAAAGCTTTCCTTTTACGATATTAACGAATAAGTGATTGATAAAAATGGAAGCAAATTATCAAGCGACGCTAAGTCCAGCACGAACTTTGACAGGTAAATACAACTACTATTCTATTCGTAGATGTCAAAGCGAATGTCACTTTTTATAAATATCAGTTAGTAATCATTTTTGGAAAAAATTACAACTTTACATATATATATAACAAATTCGTATAATGATCAAATATTTTCTAGCTTGTATATATAATAAAAACAATAGTAATATAGTAATAGTATAGTAATTGTTAACAATATATACATAGTTTTTTTATTGTATGTATACAATGTATTTTAAATATTGAACTGTTTATCGAGTTTCATTGAAAATCGTTGTCATTGCCAGAATGTTTAATAAATAAATAGTATTATACTATTTTTCTAATAATTGATACTATTTTCAATTAAATTAATAATAATCCAAGATTATTTATGCAATAGGAATGAATAATGAAACCGAAGATCCATATCCAAGTTTATCCGATTATCATGATTACGAACCAAATTTGGAGTTTGATGACACAGAACTGCAGACATCTTCGAATAATGGTAATATATATATATATATATATATATATATATGTATATATATATTTTATAAGCTAGTAGAATTCTTTCTAATTATCAATATTTATTATTAAATATATGTATAATTTAATACATTTTCAGCTGTGCAGCTTTTAGAAGCAAAGCTAGATTTGATTAACAGTGGGACAGTAGTGACAGGCATAGATTATTTGGAGAGTCCAGTAAGCGATGGAACAATTGAAGAAAATTTTGAAGAAGCTCTAGTAGATGCTCCAGTTATAGAATCTGGTGTGTGACCTTTTATCTACTGTTAGTAGCCACTAAATGTCATGGCATTTGGTGGAACATAGCAGGTGAATCATGAAGATTGCTGTATAGTTTGTTACTGCATGGTGTAATGATGGAGAAAGATACGCATTAATAACAAATTGGATTCAATTTTCTTGATTCTATATATTGTGCCTAAATGTGATTACTAAATTGCCTTAGAGTTTATGACAATTGCTACAAATAATTACATAGTTTCATATTTTTTTAAATAATGATTTGTTTTTAATGAGCAGCTGATGACTTAGCAGCACTAGAAGGTGAATTAGCCGATGAAGAAGATTACCTTGATATATCAAGGCATGGAATTGTAGAAGTTGTGGGAGATGACAGTGCTGGTCGTAAAATAATAGTAGTATCAGCCTGTAAATTGCCTCCTATTGGAAAAGAAGCTTTCAATCATGCCAAACTTCTTAGGTTAGTAGAAAAAGTTGAATATTTGTTATGGCATTGTAATATTAAATGGAGCAACGTAGTGCATCTTAAAGCTTTATATTTTTATTAATTAATATTACACATATTATATTTAAACCACATAATATTACTTATAGTGAAATAATTAAGTAAAATTCGCATAGCCATTGTAAGCGTTATTATTTAAAGGAATCTGCTTTAATTCATTTATTTCCATAATGGATTATATTTACACAAGAAGTCGCATCTGCCACACTTCCAAATTAATTAACTGCAAACTAAAATGCTGCTTTTAAACACTAAATTAAGACTAAATTACAGGTACAAGTACCTTTGCAACCATTTTTTAACCCTTGAACCGCGGATTTAACTGTACGGTATTTGTCAGAACACAACCGTGGATCGCGCTAGTTGGCATTGTTATTTCTTGTGAAAACACATGTCATCCAAAGTAAGTAAAGTTTTTATACTTCACGCATTTGTATTTTTATATCAATATTGTAAAATCAAGTTATATTATTGAACATTGAGACGTCGCTGTTTTATATCAATCAAGAGTATGCATTGATTAAAGGCCTTGCGGTTTAAGGGTTAAGCATACCTCTTCTCCTTTCCTGGTAGGAACTAAAGTACTAAGGCAGATTTGAAATTCCTATTTTATCATAAGAAAAAATCTTTTAATATATATTTTATTTTATAGGTATCTAATGCATACATTAGACAAATTTGTAGAACAAGATTATAGTCTTGTTTATTTCCATTATGGCCTAACTTCCAAAAATAAACCACCACTCTCTTGGTTATGGCAGGCGTATAAAGCTTTCGACAGGAAGTACAAAAAGAATCTCAAAGCACTCTACTTAGTACATCCAACTAATTTTATTAGAATTGTATGGCAGATCTTTAAACCAGCTATTAGGTAATCAAATTTGAAATATTCAATAATTTCTTATCTATACATTTAAATAACATTACATTTATTTTACTGTAGTGCAAAGTTTGGTCGTAAAATGATGTATGTTAATTATTTAGAAGAACTAGCACAGTACATTAATCTCGATCAACTCATTATACCTCCACAAGTATTACAGTAAGTATCATTATGTTTAATAGATAAAAAAATAAAAACTTTTTTCTTTTCTTTCTTCTCTCTCTTCTTAAACTTTTTTAACTAGTCTGAGTAGTTAATATTTTTTTGTAAGAATATCATTTAATGTATCTTAAGGTATTATTTCAATATTTTTAGACATAATGAACAACTTATAAGCAAAAATAAAAAAAGTTTACCAACTAGTCCACCTCAAAGTACAGTAGCTACACCAGTCGGTACAACACAATTTGGTGCAAGTTTAAGTTTTATTAAAGAAAATAATAATGGTGACCCGATACCACCAATAGTAAAACAATGTATTGAGTTTCTAAATTGTCCAGATGGTATGTTTATTATTATTATTTATTATCCAAGAATTCTTTCAGTATATATTATGAAAATGAATTCTTTATTCCTAAGAGAGTAAGTTTGTTCACAGCCCTAGAAACAGAAGGAATATTTAGAAGATCTGCTAATGTAGGAGTGATTAGAAAATTACAACATGACTGTAATCAAGGTTTGCAGGTAGACTTTAAAGGAGATCCTCATATAGCAGCAGTCCTTTTAAAAACATTTCTTCACGAATTAGATGAACCCCTTATGACGTATGAATTATATGATGAAATTACACAATTTCAAAGTAAGAAACATTAAATTCTTAGTATTAAGCAATCGTGTTATTCCATTATAAATACTAAAATTAGTTTATTTATAGCATTATCGAAAGATGAGAGACCACGTAGAGTAAAAATATTAGTACTCGAAAAACTTCCCGAAGATAATTATCATCTTCTAAAATATATAGTACAATTTTTATCAAAGGTAATATAGCAATTAATTATATGTATATATGATTATTTATTTTTATTTTTTATTATTATTTAATTGATATTTATTAACAGGTAATAGATAGAAGTGATTTAAATAAAATGACATCAAGTAATTTAGCAGTGGTATTTGGCCCAAATCTTGTTAGAGCACCTTCGTCACGTGGAATGTCTCTTTCTGCAATAGGACCTATTAATCAGTTCATAGATTTTCTATTCACATTTCAGGATAAAATATTCATCATCTAAATTGAAATTATAGGTGATAGCCAAAGGTCTGATAACCAAACCAAATTAGTAGCGATTGTGTAAATTTGCGCATGTATGTGAACTGCGTGCCTGTACATGCGTGTTTTTAGTGAGATTTAAAAGTATGGCTGTTCAATTTAATATTATTAAGCAAGATGATATTCAGAATACTTTGTACTACAATTCTATGAAATTTTTTTTAGAAATGTTAGCACAAGAAGTATAACACTTTTATATATTACTAAATTAATTTAAAACATATTAAAATCATTAATCTAGTTATATTAACAAAATAATACTATAATTATTACTACAATGATAATTAACATTTATTGATTCATTAAAATTTTATATCACAGATTTATATTTACAAACATGACATGATTATAAAACATAGGAAACTTCATAAATTATGAAGTATAATTAGCACAATAATCTCTTATCTATACTAGCAACACAATCTCCAAAGGAATAGATTTATCATTTACAATAAATTAATATCGTTTATATATAATGTTAAATTGTCAGTCAAGATAGTGTATATAATTATATGACTTCATTATCGTAAACCAAAGATTCAAGAAAATGTTAGGTATTATATATAAAATATAGGCATAATATTATCTACATTGTATAATATTATAACATTGTCTATATTTAAATTAAGTATAATATAATAAATATGCGTGTGTGATTTATGAAAGAGTAATACGTTTATAACGTACAGGATGCATTGATTATCTAATTTTAGGATATCATTTTTTGATTTGTAAAATCTAATTTCACAACTATAGTTAAATTATCTTATAATATGGTGCTTTTCATAAATCTAGTGTACAAGTCAGTTAATATATTCACTTTTCCGTTTCTTGTATATTTAATTTTTTTTCGTTTCTTTTTTTTTTTTAAAGGAATACTATATATATATTTATTTTTACAATTTTCTCTACAATCATAATAAGATCTAGATTTATAAAAAAGTTTACTTAGTTTTATAAAAATTATTAAACATTACATGTATTTATATATTCATCAATTTCTTCCTAATCAATGTCACAAAGTATAAATGATAAAGTAAATCTTTAATAATATCAAGCATCCTGTTATCATGATTGCATATGTACAAATTGAATAAATTAATCGTGTAAATTTTTTATCTTATTGCACAGTACTGATCTATAAGAAAATTTTAGGAATTCAATAGAAGGTATATACACAAAAAAAAGGAATGCTTATAAACGATCGTGAATTATTATGTTGTGTTTCTTATTGTAAATTTGATCATGTCATCAAATATTCTTTCGTGTAAAAGTATTATAATATTTTTCTAACAGTACAGAATTTCATTGATTTTCTTCTTATTGTATAAAAATGTACTAATTAGGATTTTTAAATATATCGTTGAGTACATTTCTTGCAACAATCCTGCCATTAAATGGGTCATTAGAAAGTATTTACATAAGAGCTGATCAATTGACACGTTCTCTTTTATTTAAAAGACTAATACAATATTTGTATAGAACTAATGCGATTACATTCCTTGTTATTGTATTTAGATCACTGATAGTGTAATCAAGCATAATTGTATAAACATAACATAGTTAGTTAATAACACTATTAATATTCAGCAATTTACTCTGTCATTCCTTGTGGCATTTTATGTATTATATAATCATTTGTATTATATATACACATAATATATAATACTAGTTTAAACATAAATACTTATGAAATATTTAATATTTACTAAAATGAAATTGTGTATTAACAAATATATCTTCATTATAAAGTTATTTATTGCTCAAATAAATAAAAACATGCACAATCCATGTATGTAACTGCAATTAAGCGGAACATTTAACCCTTATATAATTTTTTTTAAGTCCATGTTGTTGTCAATGCAAATGTTATATATCATTAAATAAATATAAATTCTAGCAAAAAAGTATTACATATAAATGTATATTATATACTTGGTTTATTTTCTTATATGTCCCTTTATTCATATTTGACTATATTTAAATATACATTGACTTATACGACATTAATTGATGTACATGATGATGAGAAATAATTATAATTAATCTTATTTTTTATATTATACTTGAGTGTTTAGTATTTTCTAATTTTAATGATAGGTCTATGTTATATATATTATTCTTTATTATTTTCAAATAAAATATACTAATAAGAAAAATTTACTCTGTTAATATACTGCAAAATTGTAAAATCTAGGATATTTTATGTGTCGTTTACAAATTAGTAATATATATATATTTATACTTATTAAAGTATAATAACATAGACGAACTACCATTTTTAGTAGTGTTATTATATAATTATGAAAAAAAAAAGAATAAAATGATACCAACAGGCACTGTAATAAAAAATTTATGTAAATATAGCAATGTACATTTCATAATATTTTTAAAACATCAAATGCATAATGTATATTTGCATACATACCACAATATTACAACATTATATGAAACTTACAACATTTTATGACATTTGTGTATTTGTTCTTAGATTCGATCATTCAAGATTTGCACATTTTATATTTTGCACACAATATCTAGTTAAAAAGATACCATCTTGTAAAAGATAAATACAACAATGTTTGACATAATATGGCAAAAAGCTAATATTTTTTATATACATTATATATATATATATATATATTATTTATAATTATTTTTGAAATTAAAGCTTTTCCAAAAATAAGAATATTAATTTATGAGTTTTGGGAAGAACTGCCACAACAAGAACTTTTTGTTGGCCGAGTTTCTTGAGCTTCATCTTCAACTACCACAACATTACGACGTGTACTGCTAGTCCTTTCCAAACAAGACTTTTGTTCTACTTCATCTGCATGTTCTATCATTCTACATGTCAAATCCAAGAACATTTGCTCAATGTTTTGATTTAATTTTGCAGATGTATGAAAATGCATGGCACCAACTTGCTGCGCATATCTAGCGAAAAAATATTCATTTTGTAAATCCATTTATTTCTCAAAACAATTTAAAAATTACTCACTTCTCTGCTTCTTCTATTGAAACATTTCGATCTTTTTCAAGGTCTATTTTATTGCCAGCAATTGCTAAAGAAATTTCACTGCCCAACATTTTCTTAAGTTCTTTCACCCAATTTTTAACCTAAATAAATAAAAATGATGTTACAGGGAAATTGATTGCAATAAAAATATTGAAAAAATTCTTATGCATACCTTTTGAAAAGTATCTTCATCTGTAATGTCGTAAACTAAAATAGCACCGTTAGACATTCTATAATAAATTGGTCCTAGTGCATGAAATTTTTCCTGCCCTGCGGTATCCCATATTGCTAAGTTGACTCTTTTGCCATTTATATTTAACTTCTTATTTAAAAAAGATGCCTTAATAAATTATAATAAAGTAAAAGATCCAATTAGTTGTATATTATAACAGTTGACACATGATATTAGAATATATTGTACAATATATATAAATATATATTTATTAATGTTTATAAAATATTGTTGTACAATTTACTTAGGTAAAAAAACAAGACAAATAATTAACTAATATTATAGAAATATCATGTTATATGCAACAGTTACATCACTTACTTGTACCGTAGTAATATGTTTGTCATTAAATTTGTCTTCGACGTATCGTAATGCTACTGATGTTTTTCCCACACATCCTTCACCAAGTAACACAACTTTGAAATTATATCCATTTCCAGTATTACTAATTGAACTGGCCATAGTTTCAAATAACTAATACCGTTAAAAGATGATATCACACGTACATATGTACCGAAGATCAATGTAGATTAACATTCACGTTGGACCTATCATATGTTAGTCATATTAATATAAGATTAATTTAATATGACAATTATTTCTTATATAGTTAGACACTTATTTCTTTATAACGTCAAAATGAAAGCATCAGCTGTTTTCACCTAATATACACATATACATATACATACCACACTATAATTACATACAATCATACATAAACATATATGTACACATATAGTATACGTACTATACTACACATTGCAAATCTCATATATAGGGTGATTCATGAAAAAATGTCATAAATGCGGTATATGATTTCTGAAATAATTTTGAATGTTTATATAGAGATGGTCCGATTTTGAATATTTATACAACAATAGCTGTTAAATTCAACAAATAGCTAAGATTACATTACAATAATTTACATTTTGAGAAAGATAATCGGCAAACTTACAGTTTACACCTAAGAGGTGTACATATCTAGTGTTTTTGATCATTTTTAAAGGTACACAAGTTCATCGTGATTTTCCCGTTTATGGCATTTAAAATATGTTTGATTAATGCATCTCTTATTTTTACCTTTTTTGGTAAATTATATGGGTCCTTCATCCCGGTAGGTATCCACTCCTGTAGATAATAAATAATCTAGGGGGTTTGATCTGGGGACTTAGGTGACCAATTAATGGGCCCATACGAACGACATGAGATTTATATTATTGCATTTATTTACACTAAATTAATAAATATAGCGCTGTCATCGTTTAAAAATAGTTATATGATCAAAAATATTTTATAAATTTTGAAGTTACCTTTATTATAACTGCGTGACAAGTATGGCAATTACATATGTATGTGTCATGTGTTATAAAAGAGGAGGGAGAACAGACAAAACAAAGAATATAAACCTTGCATAAAGGATAAGATAAAACAGGTAAGATAAGTGAAATTTGTAAAATGATCACAAATATTGCGATTTTCTACAATCGTTCTCGTACATTCAATTTTGATCGTTTAATTTGTTAAGGTTCTGCCATTCGTTAGTGATTCTTTATATTGGATTAAACTGAATATATGTTACCTTCCAATATTTATCACTTTCATTATAAATCAAGTTTTTCATTCTAAATAATAAATCATGGTAGATATTGTATATATTATCCGTTATCATATACAATAAATAAATATCAATATATTGTTTGAAAAATAATATTCAATAATTCTTTAATTGATTTCTTACAATAAATGACATGACATATAATAATTAAAATTATACTGTCTATACTTCGTATTTTTATAAGTTATATACGAATTAAAATGATAAAAGTATAATTGAATTTGTTTTTTGTTTTTCAAAATTTGTATAAAGATTCAAAAAATTGTTAATCAAATTGAAAAGTGTTTAAAATTTTCGCGGGAATAAATAAATGAAAACTTATAGTAATTGTATTACGATTTTCAACGT